CCTTGAGCTGCTTCAGCAATAGGTAGCACTGGGCCCTGCTCGCCCGACGATGCTGCCGCTTGTGAGTCACTCGTAGGTGCTGGGGGTGAACTCGTGCCAGGGTTGTCGAAGTTGACGCGCTGATCTCGTCGTACTCGTATCCAACTGCCGTCCGCCCTCAGTCGTGGACTGAGCTTCGAGGTAGAGCCGCGCTTCAAGATGGATGCCTGTGTCCGAGATCTGTCGTCATCATGTTCACGAGCTTCTGCCTCTGTTGCCGCAGGTGGTTGCTCAGGTGCTGCAGGTTCCGAGCGAGATGCGTCCATGCCCACGGGTGGGTCAGAAAGCGCCACTTGTCGCCAGTCGGGTGGAGCTGGAGCCTGAGGTGCTGGAAATATCGGTGGAGTAGGCACCTCCAGAGGTGGTGCCGAAGCCTCAGGTGAGGTCGGTGCTCGACGAGGTGCTGCACTTCGCGGAACAAGCTCTTCATCTGATATGCTGATATCATGATCTGCCTCCACAGCTCGCTTTTGACCGCCTTCAGGGACTGGTCGACCTGGGCGATCGTCAGGAGGTCGAGGAGGCGCAGGTGGCGCCAAGATAGAGGTGCCTGACCTCGACACTGTCTCGAGGGTGCTGTCCATGTGCTGTGACTGATCAGTCGGCGGGAAGGCCGACCGCGGTGCCACGGGCTGTCGAGGTATTTGCGGTGGTCGTCCTGGAGGCTGTGAAGGCTGAGGAGGCTGTTGATAATCATCAGTCTCCATGGCTATGCTGTCGTAGCCTGGAGGTTTCCACCACTCCGTCGGAGGTGGTGATGGTGGAAACTGCGTGGGAGGTGTCCAGGGCGCGTCGTCTATCTGCTCGATGCTGGAGATGTCCGACAGGTCTGGTACTGCGTCCTGAACCGTAGTTTTTCCGTACTGCTCTGAGACAGAGATGATGAATGAGTAGTTGCTTGGCGTGTTTGTCAAGATTGTAGCCAGTCGCAGAGTATGTCCCAGGTCCGCTTGTCGTTCTTGATAGTTGAGTCGATCTCGTCGAACCCCTGCTAGAATGACTCCTCGCTTGATGCCGTGGTAGGTGTTGATGTTGTGCAGCTGAGCGCCGAACCTGATAGCTCTGGGAGCCGCCAGCTGCAACAACGCCTCGCCTACTTGAGAGTCCAAACGAAAGACCTCGGGAGTGTTGACTTCGAAATCGTCCGGCACAACAATCTGCATGCCGTTGGCGTCGTGAACCATTCCAATCGTGATCGTAGTGCCCGATGCCTGACCATCAATGATGTCAAATAGGCCATGTAGTGTCGTGTACATGTCGTCGTGCAAGTTGTCCTGCCATCTGCCTTCTCCGTCCATCAGCATGTGAATCGGAGGGCACGCCGCCACGACTGCGTACGATCGTGCCCGATGTGGTCGCACATGTCTGAGCGGAACGATGTATGGCATGGACTGGTGCTTGACGATGGCCACGTTCTCCTTCAGGTTGATGTCCAGTAAGTCGCACGGTCCTTCCCACCCTGGTGCGTCCTTGCGATCAGGAATTCGATGCAGATCGACAAAGTCCTGTGGTGGTCGTAGCTTTGCCACGTCTGAGAGGATCTGCACCCTGGTATTGTTAGCCTCTGCGATGCGCTGCTCGATGACTGCCTTCTGAACTGCCGTTTTGGCCATCATTCTGAGCCTGAGATAAGACTCGAAGGTGTCTGGAGTAGAGTCACGAGTGCCGTCGATAGCAAGAGTGGAGTTGGAACCGTGATCAAAGAAACCACGAGGATTCCGTCCTTGCAGGCACTGAGATGGTGTGTAGCCGCCGTGCTCAGGCATGAAGTTCTGGCACATCGCACATTCGAACACTATGTCCTCGTCGGGAACCACGAGTCCTTGCTTGGCCGCGCTGGCCTTGCACTTCAGAGAGGGTGTCTTGATGAGGCCGATGCGTCGTTCTGCCAGTCCAGTGACTGTATGCTTGCCTGAGTCGTCCGAGCCACCCAGTTGCCCGTGTATGCTGTAGCGATCGCACACCACCGCAACGTCGTCTGAGCGAGCGCCGCCTTCTTGGTCGAACTTGATGCACGTGGGAGGTCCGAAGTAGCGAAACCAAGCTCGTAGCAATGCCTGGGCTATGTGGAACGCGTCCTTCTTGGGTAGCACTTTGGCTAACTTCCATCTGATAGTCTCGTCTACCACGAATAAGAATGTCTTTCCGAATATGAAGAGGAGGTCGCACACCATAACGTCGCCGAATCATCCTGTCAGCTCTGCTCGATATTTGGGCTTGCTGGCGATGGGTGCCCAGTCGTTGCACTCCTCGCATGCTGCAATCACTTGATGAGCCAGCTCCAGACACTTGTCCGGTACACCAAGCCCGGTAGCTGCTCATGCCATAGTCGCTCATGAAGACCCTTCAGCGAGCGAAAGCGTTCGGCGTCGGACTCCGTCTCCTTCAGCTGTTGCCGTAGCTTGGTGAAGTCGAAGCTCGGAGGTGTGGTGATGAGCTTGAGCCTCGGTAGGATCCTCCGTTCAGCATCTTCCTGCATCGTAGGTGGTGGCGCATGATGCTGCTGTGCTGGTGTGAGTCCATCAAGCCGTTCCAGTGCTGAAGACTCCCACTTGTCAATGTCTGCGCCGAGGAAGATAACTCGAAGTGGGCTGTCGTCTATCGAGGTGGTGTTGGATGTCTCCAAGCTGTTCGGCTGAACGGTGATGTGCAGAGAGTCGACGTCCATCAGCGGTCTCAGTAGTTCGATCATCATCTGAGCGGTGCCGTCGGTGTCGTCGCCGAGGTTGAGCTGCTGCTGAGTGTTGGGCGCCGTGAGTATGCCTGTGTGCTGTCCTGCTAAATTTGCCACGATGCGAGCCAACCATATCTGAACGAGATTCTTCAGCTGCTCGTGAATATTCATGGTGAAGTCGTCCGCTTTGACTCGCCGCAGCCGGTCGTAGGCCACCTTCATCTTGACAGTGCCGTTCGCTGGTTGCTGTAGTGGTTGTATTTTTCGCGACGTAGGTCCTACAACTGCTTCTGGTGCCACTGCTGGTGCTGCGGAACTCGATGCAGAAGCCGAATTTGGTGGTGTTTGTACGATATTCTCGTCCAAATTTTCTGATGGTCGTGGATCGGGTGCTGGAGCCGGTGGTGCTAGCTGTCGAGGTGGAGCTGATGCTGCTGGTACTGCTGCCTTTGCCGTTGCTGAGGGTGCCTTGGCAGCTGGTCGTGTCAACGTCCGCTTGGGATCTGCTATGGGTGCCAGCTTGCAGTTTCCAGGAATCCTGCTGTGCTCACGCTCTCCACCATGCTTGCATTTAGGGCAGCCCCAGAAAGCCTCTGTGCCGGTCTTCGGCGTGTGTAGTCCAGTGCTGCCAAAGCCGTTCTTGTCACGCTCTGTCTCGTCCTCGTCGATGTGATCCTTGTTCTGCACTGGTGGAGACTGGGTCTGCACGATCATGAGCTGAGCAATCCTGTCGCCACTCTGGCATGCAATGCGAGACTTGCCACGATTTTCCAGTATCACGATAAGCTCGCCTCTGTAGTCAGCGTCGATAACTCCCCCATTGATGCCGAGACCTTGCCTCAACGCCAGGTCTGACCGAGGTGGCAGCTGGCCGGTGGTACCTGCTGGCAGTGCCAGCTTGAGCCCGGCATGAAATCCACGCCATTGTCCAGGTTCAAGAAAGCCATCGGTGACCGTGGTGATGTCATACGCCGCCGCACCGTCGCTGCCGAGCTGAGGTGCCGTCGCCTTAGGGTGAAGTAGCTGAACTCGCACTGCTTCTGTGTTCGGGCCTCCGTGGTGTATGTCGATGTTGTTGTAGACGAGCGTCGCCAACATCGGGGCGCAGGTAAACTTGCGCGCGAAGGAAGTGATGTCGCTGATGAGTGCCTGGCACATCGTGCGAGTGTACACTGTAGTCATTGCTGCGGTCTTGGAGCCCGAGCCTGGTACTGAGCCCTCGATAACTGCATGTCGTTGAACTCCGTGACCAGAGCTTTGTCGGATGGTCTTCTTCAGCTGTATGTTGGAGTCGATCCTGTAGGGTTTCTCCAAGGGCTCGTTGTTTGTGTTCACGCAGCCTTGAGCGCATCCGTCAACTCGTCGAGTTCTGTTGCTGACGATGTCCTGATTCTGCTTCAGTGGTGACTGCGTCCAGAGCTGAGAGCGTTCTCGTTGACGTAGCCAAGTCCGTCTCGATCCTGAACGATGTTATCATGATAAAACCACTCCAACATCGGAAAATCTGCTTGTCATTCGGCTGCCGCAACTCCAGCTCCTCGCATGTTGCTCATTGCCGAGCATAGCCTGCAGTCTGGAGAAGAAAGCTTCACTCTGGGCTTGAAGACGGTCTGGATCTTGCTTACCAATTTCCGATGATCGGGATTCATGAGGTCCCAGCCGTAGCGGTAGTCGACTGGAAGGAGCACTGTGAGTCCAGACCTCACTGCAGACAAAGAAAGTCGTCCCGATCCAGACCACTGCTCCCGAAAGGCCCAACTACTTGGAGACCATGGTGAGTGTGAAACCACTTGTCGAAGTTGCCTGGAGTCACGACCTCGTAGCCTGTCTTGGTGTAGAACTCCTCGGGGATGTCCTTGTATCTCTGCTTCAGCCACGCCACGTGCTCGCTGGTGAGATAGTCTGGGAAGCTGTCCTCCATGTAGACTTGACCGCCGCAGTGACGAAGCATGCCGTGGTATCCGGCTGTGCCTGCAAATATAACTGCGTTGGTCGGTGCGCGGTCCACTGGTGTATCTTCCCCAGTAGTACTGCCATCACTTGGTGTCGTAGATGTTGATGCCATGAGGTGTGTCTTCTGCGGAGTTGATCTTTGGTCCTCCTGGGTGCAAGAGGAGACGAGAGCCGCAATATCAGTCTTAAGAATTTTGGCGTTGATGTTCTTCACCGTGTGTATCAGCATCTCGACCACGTGTGCCGAAACTGCTGGTTCCTCGCGCTGCTGACCTTCAGGATCGTCCGTCGGAAGTAGGGAGTGACTGCTGTCCGCGAGAAGAACTCTGACCACATGCACGTCCGACGGGTCGCTGTCAGAAGCCAACACAAGAGCTCCATTGCCATCCTTAGTAAGTCCATGTACGAGTAGAGCTTTGTAGAGCTTTGTAGTCCGCTGGCGCTTCTCCCAGAGGAGTTCCTGATCGCGGCGCGCCTGCGCGATGGCGCCCCGGTCTACGTGACCCCTGGCGCGTGCTCCCGGTGCGGCGCGGACCGGGGCATCGACGGGGCACGCGCCGCGTGTTGTGCCCCAGGGGAGTCCACGCGCGGCCACAACAGAGTGCGGGACGAACTCCTGGCACTGGCCTCCCTGTCCGACGGGGCCGCTCGGTCGGAGGCGCCGGGCCTCATCGAGGCCGCGCCGCTTCTCCGCCCGGCCGACGTGCTCACCACGGCTGCCTTTGGCCGGCTGACGGCGCTCGACGTGGGCATCGTGGCGCCGCACGCGGCCGGGGCCGGCGAGGATGCTGCCGCCGCCTACGTGGTCAGCAAGGTCGGCAAGTACGCGCCGCACCTGCCGGCGCTGGCGGCCGACGGGATCGCCTACCGGCCGCTCGTCTGGACAACGTGGGGCCGCCCGCGCGAGGATGCGTCGGCCGCGGTCGCGTCCATGGCGGCCGCAGCGGGGAGGCGCCTGGGCGCGCCCTCGCACGCGCTCGCGGCGCGGGCCCGCACCGCCATCGGCGCCGCGATCTGGCGCCGAGCAGCGCGCATGGTCGGCGCGTGCGGCCCGCGGCTCGCCCGAGGGGATGTCGGTGCCCTCCTGCCGGGGGCCGGGGCCGCTGGTGCAGGTGACGCCGCCGACGCCGCCTCCGACGTCGATCCGCCCGCGGATCCCTCGCCGGCGGCGCCGTCCGACTCCTCCTCGTCCACCTCCTCGCCTGCCCCCTCCTGCCCGGCGTCGCCCGCTTCCCGGCCTGCCCGCCTGTCCCCCGCCCTTGACTTCCGTTTGGGGGGGCGCGGCGGAGCCGGCAGGAGGCAAGGCGCTGGCGGGAGCGCTGGCCGGCGTGGCGGGCGAAGCGGACGCTGTCGCCGGCCCGGTCGGCACTGGCGGGCCCGCGGGGCCGGCGGGCCAGGTCGGCGCAGCCTTCCTGGGGGTCGGCGCAGCCGCGGGCGTCGCCGAGCTCGCGGCCGCGTTCGAGTCCATCGCGGGCGCGGTCGGCCCCGGGGGAGCCGGCGCGCCTGGCCCTGGCGACGCCGGAGGCGCTGCGGCGGAAGCTGCCGGCGCTGCGGGCTGCAGCGCCGCCGCGGGGGCCGCCGGCGAGCCTGCGGGCGGGGGTGCCCGGGGCCCGGCCTGGTTTGCCGGCCTCCGACTGGCGCGCGGGCGCGGCCCCCCGGCATAGCCGTCGTGCTGCCGGGGCGTGGGCGTGGAGGACGAGGGGTATGGGGTGGGGGCGTGGAAAAAAAAGAGGAGGCAGCGGCAACAAGAAACGGGCAGTTGGAGCCGCTCTCAGCGATAAGATCGCCATGCCAGACCAACGCAAGACGGGAACATTGAGCCTTCTGTGCCCCATGTCCCAATCCAGTAGTAGGTCTGCCGTTCATGCCAGTAAAGCTGCCTGATCCTGGGGTGATCGTATAGTTCTGCGTGTCCTTGCCGTTGTGCTGCAACTGCGTGTCAGTGCCACAGATGCCAGAAGCTGCTCCAGGATCGATGATGAATCCTTTGCGTTGTCGACCCCTGACAAGATGGTGCGCCTCGAAGGCGTCGTCGCGCTCGCTGACATGCTGAGGACCAACGCCGAGGCATTCTTGTCAGTCGAGCTTGAGCTAGCTTCCACTCTGCTGGCCGATCGTGCCTCAGGTAGTTCTGGATACTGCTGCTGAGTCGATAGGCCCAGTCCGAACATGGCGTGCGTCTTCTCGCTCCGCAGGAACGAACGTCCGAGGCCTGCTCCGATGGAACGTTCTGCCAGCAGCCGGCGTCGCTCGAGTCCGGTCGAGTCGAAGGTCGCAATGTTGGTCGCCATGGATCTGACTGCTGCTCAAACCAGGGATCCTTGTCTTCGTAGTCCTTGATGTCCTCCTCAGTAGCCCATACCTTGGTCTCCTCCTCGATCCCTGCTTCTTCCTTCCTGAGTGAGGCCAAGTACCGTCGTTCTGCTACTGCCTCTGGATGTCGATTGATGCTGTCATAGCCCGCAGTCGACGTCGGAGGTGTTGGCAGTGTGATATCCATCCCCGTCGTGTCCTTCATGCTGTTGTCGCCGAGCCCGGCCAAGAGACATTTCCTGCTGGTAGCCCTGTTGACCAGGCAATCCTTCACGCTGTGCCACCGACTGCCACACTTGTCACATCCAGTGCTCGATCCTGGACTTCTCGAGTTGTGTACAGTAGATCCAGGTTGAGCTTGCTGCTGTTGTCAAAATCCAAAGATCCATCACAGGTCCATGTCGATCATCTGAGCCAGTACCTTTGCCTTTCTTGCTCTTGCTTTTGCCCTTGCTCTTGCCCTTGCTGCCATAATAGTCGCGTCCTCGTCGATCCTTGCAACCTGACTTGCCACGTCCGAACGAACGAAATCTGTTTTTGCCCTTGCCGCCTTTGCCCGATCTTCTGCGACGATGTCCGAAGCCACCTTTGTTGGTGCCGTAGCCTTTGCCTTTGCGCCGCCGTCCGTACTTGCCGGAGAAAGCCAGATCGTGTGGAGGACCGTCGAGAGGGTCATCGAGAGGAGCTTCTTCGTCGTTATAGTTATCATCCTGATCGTCATCATCATCATCTTGATAATACCACGCTTGGAATTCATTAGCACTCCAGGTGCCGTCCCAGCAATATGAAACCATGTAATTGAGATACTCCATATTATCTGATGTCAAGGGGGGTAGTACGCTTGCTCGTAGGTGTAGTCGTACATGTACCAGCTTCCGTCGTGATCGGTAACATACTGAACTTGACTGCATCCTTGGTCGCCGTCGTCGTCATCATCATCATCATCATCATCATCATAATTCAGAATTTCGCTACCGAGGAATCCCACATACTTAATTTTAATCTTATGTGTTTGCTTATGTATATATTATATATGCACAATCCTGCGTTCTGGGCCCTCGTCGCGAATGTTCCCTATGGGTCATCCAACGCCAAATTTTGGGCGGCATTGCTGCCGCGCGTAGGCCGGGCGGTTGTTGCCCGCTAGTTGGAGCACAGACAAACTTGCGTAAATGCGCAGTCGTGCCGCGCCGGCTTGCGCCGCGATGTTTACGGATCAGGGTAAGACGCAAGCTCTCACGCGCAATGCGGTGGATAATCACTGCACCAAAAGATCACCCCCTGCGCTGGCCCTAAAGTCCCGGGAAAGTGCCACGCCTGCTAGGCTTTGCGACAGTGTCGTGGGTGGCGGCCGCGCTCAGAGACCCCCTGTGGTGTCGAGAGAGTGCCACGGCTGCAAAGCTTTGCGCCAGTGTCGTGGATAGCGGCCGAGCTGAGAGACCACCCCCTGCCCACCCCCTTTGGCGTCGAGAAAGTGCCACGCCTGCTAGGCTTTGCGCCAGTGTCGTGGATGGCGGCCGAGCTGAGAGACCACCCCCTGCGCACCCCCTGTGGTGTCGCGAAAGTGCCACGCCTGCTAGGTTTTGCGACAGTGTCGTGGGTAGCGGCCGAGCTGAGAGACCACCCCCTGCGCACCCCCTGTGGTGTCAAGAAAGTGCCACGCCTGCTAGGCTTTGTGCCAGTGTCGTGGATAGCGACCGAGCTGAGAGACCACCCCCTGCGCACCCCCTGTGGTGTCGAGAAAGTGCCACGCTTACTAGGCTTTGCGCCAGTGTCGTGGATAGCGGCCGAGCTGAAAGACCACCCCCTGCGCACCCCCTGTGGTGTCGAGAAAGTTCCACGCCTGCTAGGCTTTGCGCCAGTGTCGTGGATAGCGGCCGAGCTGGGAAACCACCCCCTGCGCACCCCCTGTGGTGTCGAGAAAGTGCCACGTCTGCTAGGCTTTGCGCCAGTGTCGTGGATAGCGGCCGAGCTGAGAGACCACCCCCTGCGCACCCCCTGTGGTGTCGAGAAAGTGCCACGCCTGCTAGGCTTTGCGCCAGTGTCGTGGATAGCGGCCGAGCTGAGAGACCACCCCCTGCCCACCCCCTTTGGTGTCGAGAAAGTGCCACGCCTGCTAGGCTTTGCGCCAGTGTCGTGGATAGCGGCCGAGCTGAGAGACCACCCCCTGCGCACCCCCTGTGGTGTCGAGAAAGTGCCACGCCTGCTAGGCTTTGCGCCAGTGTCGTGGATAGCGGCCGAGCTGAGAGACCACCCCCTGCGCACCCCCTGTGGTGTCGAGAAAGTGCCACGCTTGCTAGGCTTTGCGCCAGTGTCGTGGATAGCGGCCGAGCTGAGAGACCACCCCCTCCGCACCCCCTGTGGTGTCGAGAAAGTGCCACGCCTGCTGGGCTTTGTGCCAGTGTCGTGGATAGCGGCCGAACTGAGAGACCACCCCCTGCCCACCCCCTGTGGTGTCGCGAAAGTGCCACGCCTGCTAGGCTTTGCGCCAGTGTCGTGGATAGCGGCCGAGCTGAGAGACCACCCCCTGCCCACCCCCTTTGGTGTCGAGAAAGTGCAACGCCTGCTAGGCTTTGCGCCAGTGTCGTGGATAGCGGCCGAGCTGAGAGACCACCCCCTGCGCACCCCCTGTGGTGTCGAGAAAGTGCCACGCCTGCTAGCCTTTTTCGCCAGTGTCGTGGATAGGGACCACGGTGAGAGACCACCCCCTGCGCACCCCCTGTGGTGTCGAGAAAGTTCCACGCGTGCTAGGCTTTGCGCCAGTGTCGTGGATAGCGGCCGAGCTGAGAGTCCACCCCCTGCCCACCCCCTTTGGTGTCGAGAGAGTGCCACGCCTGCTAGGCTTTTGTGCGAGTGTGTGCATGCGCGCGGCCGTATGCAGACGCGTGTCTCATGTACTTGCCGTGCACGCGTTGAGCGCGGGTGAGGAGAGGAAGGAGGAGAGAGGAAATGAGGTGTGAGGTGAGGTGAGACGCGGGTGCGCCGCGGCAGGGAAGAAAACCAGAACCCCACGAAACATGTGGGGAATAATGCCTTGCGTGTCGCCCTCGCCGATCTCTTTCTGTCCTTTGCTGAACTTCATCAAGAGCTTGTAAATCTCTGTGAACTGGCCCCTGTCGCCGTCTACCTGCAGCATCAGATCGTCAATGAACCTTGGAGCCAATCCAGCCTTGCCAAGCAAGAGGTGCGTCAGATCGGCGTGATAGATGTTCAACGCCGCATGCTCCTCTGCCGCCTCATATAGCTTGAACGCCGTCAAGTAGTCCAAAAGCGAGTGCGACCCGCGATGTGCATCAAAAAACCGATCCAGATGAAACGCCTGCAGATCCTGGCTGTCATCGCCGAAGGCTGCCCGCAGGTCCGCCAATATCTGCTGCAATCCTGATGGTGTGGCCGGCAGGCCTCGATCAACGTCCTCGGCCTCCGCGGGTGCATTCACAGCCTCGTCCTGATACAGCATGTTGCCGTCCTGACGTCGAAGCCTGATCTTCATCGCGATGCGGTACGCCGAGCCCTTCAGTCTGCCAACCACCACGCTGCCCTGGCAGTCGCCAGGAATGTCTGCCATCCTCATCCAAAGCCGCAGCTTCTCCTCGTACGTGATCACGGCATAGTTCCGAACGTACGGTCGCCATCCTGGTGGGCACTGCCGCGTGTACTCGTCCAGCGGTATGCCTCGCAAATCAGCAGAGGCCGCCATCTTGAGACATTATTGAGATTGTGCTTGATGCTGTAGTTGCCGCCGAGCGTGTCGGTGGCCCTCACGAGTTGCACGAAGCCCTCGCGGTACTGCTGGCTGTAGTCGTTCACGCCGTCGTAGATGTAGAAGCAGCTGAGCTCCTTCAGGTCCTCGCAGTCGAGCTGAGAACCAAGAAATCCACAAAAATGTAGAATGTACCTGAGAGATCGTAAACGAGTTTACGATATCGATAGGAACCGCGGAGGGGGAGGGGGGGGGGTCGAGCAGGGGGGGGATTTTTGGAGGTGGGGGACCCTCGGGTTCTGGAGGAAGAGGGTGGGAATTTCCCACAGTAAAGCGGCGGTGGATCACGCTCTCTCTGATCATGTGATGATGATGGCGACGATGATGCTGCTGCTGATGATTGTGGCAATTGGGGTGATACCTATGGTTATGATGCTTGTGATGATGACGATGGTGATGATGCTACTGGTGATGATGAATCTGATGATGGTGGCATTTGTGGTGATGCTTATGGCTATGATGATTGTGTTGATACCGGCGATGATGCTGCTGCTGCTGCTGCTATTGATGCTGCTGAAAATGATGAATGATGCTGATGATGGCGACTATGACGATGATGCTGATGATGACGACGATGATGACGATGAT